GGAGGGGAGATCTCCCTCCTGCCAGGGAGCCCCATAACAAGGCAGGGCACAGCGTGCCCCCCCACCAGACCCCAGGGGTTCTGCAGGAGCACATCCCGGGCACAGCGGGGCACATCAATGCGGAGCACATCCCCGACCCCATGCGCAGAGCCAGCAGCCCACGCCTTCCGTCAGCCGGTGACTTCCTCCGCGTCCCGGACAGCTGCACGTCTGTCCGGCTGGGGCGCCCGAGCCGCCCCGTGCTGCCCGCGGTGCTCGGCTCCGGAGGGGTCCCCGACAAGGGCGGGATGCGGCGGGGCGCGGGGCTCCCGGCCGCTCCTTAGGAAGCAAGTCACGCTTCTGCGACAACTGCTCCTCTGTGCCTGTTTGAACTGTCCCTCCCAATTAGCAGTAATAAGGGACTCTGTAAAGATGAGCAAACACAGCGCATTCATTAGTCTCGGCGGCCCCCGCCCTCCCTCCTGGCAGCCCCGGTAGATCCCCAGGGCACTGCTCCCGGGGATGCCGAGCGCATCTCGCCCGGTCCCGAGCGCCGGCAAAGGAAAATTAATGACGAGTCGCTCGAAGAGTTTGCCCGAAATTATGTTATTCTGTCCAAGAATTGATTACTCCCGGCCTGGAAATATGTCCAAATCAATACACCGAAGCTCAGAACAACAAAAAAAAGACATACTCTAGCCCCATTTATTTATCCACTTTTTTTGAGGAATGGCACATAATTTACTGGGTCGGAATTGCTAAGCCTTTCCAGAGTGAGGACTAATGACCAGCTGTAGGAAAGTGATGTCTCCCATCCATCTCCCAGGTGAGTCACGAGTCCCCACACACCCGCTGGTGATGACCTTGGCAGTGGCCAAGACGCACATGGTGAATGCGCCTGAGGACATTGTCAGGCAGATGGATACGGAACTGAAACATGTGGGTTGAGGCACCCACCAAAGGAAATGCTTTTAAACCTCCCCAAAAGGATGACTGGTGCCCAGGTGGGAGTCCCTGCACACCCTGTTCCTGACTGGCCAATTGGAACCAGGCTGGAGTGCTTCGGGGTGAGCTGAAAGCGATGCTGAATATCCACCACAAACACTGAAACTGCGCAGCACCTGTGGCCGGGCCTCAGCACTGCAGAACAATAACCTGCGATACCCAGGCTGTGTGGATTCAGCTCCCCAGAGCAAATGGCACAAGGGACACTACAGGACAAGGACATGTCGCGTCGCCCGGGGGCTGAGCCCCAGGCCTGGGGGAGATGGCAGCACCACGTGCTGCTCTCCACAGCAAAGGCTCCCCGTGCACCTTGTGGGTGACACGCACCTGCCAGTGTGCCCCATTTGCCAATGCTCTGCATGCTCTACGGGGTCCTGAATTTTCCAGGGCATTAAATCCTATCCCCCCTCGGAAAGCTCAGTGGCAGCTGTCATGCTGCTCACTGAGGGTGGGCGGGAGGGCTCCTGCTGCACACCATCAATGTCACTTCTGAGCCACTGGCAGATGAAGGACAAGGTGGCCCCGGCAGCCCCTGGAGCTGCCAGCACGAGCACTGAGGTGCAGCTACAGCAGCACATCTGCAAAGACACTCACGGGGCCTCCCGTGCACTTCCACCCACTGAAAGGACACTTCTGACTGCGTTAAAGCAGGAGAACTCAAACCTTTCTGCTCGCTGTGAGCCCTTCAAGCAAACATCTTCATGTAAAACAGAGACAAGAAGCAGCAGAGCACTGCAAAAATCCAAATCCTGGGCTCACTGGCTTCTCCTTGAGCAAACCCCTTCCTACCCAGGCTGCCCCAGACATCTCTGAGGGCATTCTGTCCCCAAGCCTGGGCAACCTTGGGCTGGAAGAGAATTCCCCTTGGTCCTGCGTCACAGAGGAGAGATGCTAGGGTGGGAGAGGGAAAGAGCAAAACATAGCAGGGTTTGCAGCAAACCTTGCTGAACCCCAGCTCAGAGGCAGGGCAGGGAGAAGAGCGAGTTTGCATCCAGAGAGCCCAGCCACGCTCTGCCTGCCTGGCACTGCTGGCAAGCCCAAGCCCCCCCAGCCTGAGCCCATGGCCAGGGGCTCCTGGCCAGCTGGGTGGCCACAGCCCGGCTCATACCCTCCTTCAGCTGCACTTGGCTCTGCTCACAGGGAATCACAGGGGATCTTTCTGGACTGAAACACTGCTGCTCCCCCATTCAGGATGGGAACATCTGTGAAAAGGGATCATTCATAATAAACTTGTGAGTGCTGGATAGGAAAAAAAACCCTCATCCCAGAAAACAACACAGCCTTTATTTTTCAGTGCGGCTGCCTGAGCCTGCAGCACCCTGGTGGGTGGGGCAGGGAGAGCTGAGGGGCTCAGCTCACCCCCCCTGCCTGCACAGCTCAGTAAGCATGGCCTGGTCCAGCGGGACAGGACAGCAGCACTGAGGGACACATGGCAGGGCCGGGGCCCTGTTCCTTCACCCGCCACCCTCACAGCCTAACAGGCACAAATCCCCCCATGTGGCAGCCACACAAATGAGTTTTATTACTCAATAAAATATTTGAAACAAAATAAATGGTTTTGTCAAACACTATATCTCCTCAAATAAAAATGTACCATCTTATCAGGAAAAACAACCGACATTCATATTCTGTGGCAAAGGTTTATTTCGCATCCCGGAGGAAAGGGGAACAGGCATCTCAATTCGGAATTCAGATATTGGGAATACAGTAACTATAGTTCTCAGAGGGTTTGTGCAAATGCCAGCAAAACCAACCCCAAATCAAATTTATTAGCTGGTGGAGGTCTCCAACAATCTTGCACAGTGACTGATGAAGCCGTCGGGGAATTCCTTTCAACATTTAGTGATTTAAAGCCCCTACAGAAACTTCATTGTCTGTTCCAAGACAGAAAGAGTTCCTCGGTATCCAGTACTGCTCCGAGAGCAGCACTGGTGCGGGTGATATTGCCAACGTGTGCTTTCTTTCATCTGGAAACGTTACTGGGAATCCTAACGGAGTTATGTGGAGACCCATAAAGGGAGGAAGCACAAATGAAGAAAGAACTGCAGCCTGTGATCTGAAGGGCCTGTCTGTATTTTGATGGCAAGGTTGGGATGTTCACTTCTGCCCTGAGCATGCTTCCAGAAACAATCTGGATGTCATTCCCCACACAGCTCAGCCACTGGACACCTGCAGTCTGCTCGACACGGGCCGGGCAGAGCTGCAGGTTTTGGACGTAGCCAGCTCCCACCAAAGCACAGAACCGGGCTGGCTGTGCCGCGGCGGGTCAGAGCTGCTCTCTGGGAAAGCACCAGCACTGGGAAGGCAGCCGGACTCCCACTCCAAGAGGAGCGATGCCCTTCCTGAGGATGCCTGAGGGGAGGAAGGTGAAGGCACAGTCAGTGCTCCTCTAGCACTCATACCAGGCCAGCTCAGGCAGAACTGCTTGTCAAAGCAATCCCAGAAATGCACAGCTCTAATTGCCAGTTTTTTTGTCATGCACGCTCATCACTGGGTCATTTGCATTTTAGCTGCTAAAATACCAAGGGGATGTTACTTAATCAATCACCACAGCTCACAAAGTCCTAAGTGAGAGAATATTTTTTGATTGTCTCTGCTTGTATTTAAACATCTCACAAACACACCAGCCAATTCTTCATTTCAATTAGGCCAACGCTGATCGTTAGTTAACTAATAAGGACCAATTTTCTGTCACAACTATTTCCTAATTAAATTCAAAACAGAGATTTCTAACCCAGATGGTCAGCAATGCTACAGATTTGTTTAAATTTGGTATCACAGTAACAAACTACTAATTAGGGTTTGTAAATACACCAATTCCCTTATGACTTAGTTGTTAGTAATGCATACAACCAGTTTATTAAAGCACTAATTGTGTCTGGCTTTACTTGGGCCTAACACATAATCCACTTATCACATACTGGTACCATCTCATTTTGAAGGGATTATGAATGAAATCATAAATGAGGTCTTGCATCTCTTTCCTGGTATGCTTAATAAAGGTTTGGTGTCATATTTAGATGACATATTTAAATTTTCTGTCCCTGATGGAGAAGGGCCCTGCAGTGACACTGACACTCCATTCTCCAAAGGCTGTTTAACAAAAAAAGTTTATGCCCCAGCTCCATTGGGCAGCAAATTGTCCCAGCAGCCAAGATATTTGAAAGGAACTCCGGTGTTTCCCAGAGAAAGCACTGAATTGTTTATTTCCCACTGAAGTCAAGCTCAGCCCTTCACGGGGCCAGGGCTGACACTGGGAGCTCACAGGACCCCCGGCCCATTGCCTGAAGGCCCTCACAAGCCTGGACCACCTTCCTGTAGAGGGATGGAGGGCACCAAACCTGGATTCCCTCCTGCCTTTACAAAGGGACAGCCCTCTGGAAAAGGCCCTGTTTTTTAAGGAAGGCTTTGTTCCGAGGAGCCCAAATGGGAGATACCCCACAGCTGGGGCATTGATGCCCCTCACTGCTGTGGCTTTATCAAGAGTGCACAAAGTAGGAAATAAATGATAGATAACTGTGAATTGCAAGGTTATGTAAACATGGATGGGGTTCTACAAGAATCCTATTAAACCATAAAAGAAAAGCATGGACGGCTTACCACATCACTAAGACCCAAGAATGCATTAATAAATAAAAGAATAGATAACAAACCGTGAGTACAAGGCTGAACTATCTGCTATTGTGAGGATCCTGTGACAGTAGAAACAATGAAGAGGAAGAAAAAAGCTTTGTTGGTCTGCCACCAGAACCTTGTAGTGTATCTTTTATAGCCTATTTTTAATGAATTCACAGCACCTATCAGTTATTCTCTGCCCAAATCCCTCATTTTCCTCCCTCTTGAATGCAAATTCCCATATTGCACTCTGCCTTCACCATGACTTCCCCTGTTAAACTCGGGGGCTCTCTGGGTTTCAATGGCCTTTCACCCACAGCCAGAACAGGTTTCTGCTTTCATATTTCCAAAGGGTTTTCGGGATGGTAACAAAAGTGGGGCTTAATGCAAAGCAGGAGTACCTCTGAGCCTTGCTGCATCCTTTGCTTCTTCTGTGACAGGAGGGTGAATGCCCAGACAGGTCTGATTCAGACCAGAGTGACAATGCCTAGACGTGCCTGCAAGGGAAAAAAAACCCAAACACATGAAAGCTGCTGCTCCTCTTGCTGTTTTCCAGCAAATAATGCTGAGAATTGTTGGAGGGGACTTCATATTAATCCAAGAGATAGTACCCTCTTTGTAGACACTACTGAGACTCACTAACAATTTATTTTCACTGCACTGCGGGGGGTTTTATCATTGAATAAGGACCTGGGATACATTTACTGTAGATTACTTTTATTTTTACTACAGTGTCGTTATGTACAGAGCACTAAGGAGACAGGGCTGACTACGACGCGCTCGGCAGTAAAACCCCTTGGTCCTGACTCCAACAGAATCCAAAATCCTGATCGATTTCCATAAAAATCCCAAAGACTCTGTGCTGCTGGGCTGGCAGCTCAGGGTGGCACCGACATCTTGCAGGAGCACAGCCTTGACAGGGCTGGCAGAGGCAGAAGAGGGTCTGTGTTAAAGACAGGAAATGTGGCACAGCACAATGGATGCCCAAAGTTTCAGAGTTCTTTTTGTGGCAAACCCCACCTGCAGCAGGTCCCCAAGGAGCCTGCACTGTTTGAGGCTCACACTGGAATCTCCTCCTGCCTCCTTACTCTTCACATTCCCAGAGGATGTTTCAGGTAGGCAGGTGAAGCCAGTTGCCTTTCCGCACTCTGAGAAAATGGAATTAAAGAGACCTGACCGAACCCCAAGCAGTAGGCAGAAATCTGGATTTGCCTTTGCCTGGACTATTCACACTCATGATCCCAGCAGCTCTTGGTACCTGTCCCACCAGCACATCCCTGTGAGCTTTTGGGGGGTCCTGCAGGACAGCCACACCACAGAGTCCCTTGTCCCCAGAGAAAGGACAGGGGCCACCTCCTCTCTCCTTTGCTGGGTGCCAGAGGTGCCAAAGGTGAGGCACAAGCAGGGAGGTGGCTGCCCTCCCTCCCCTCAGCCTAGAGCCTCTCCTTTGACCACACTGGAGCAGAGAGCAGGCGGCTGCTCTCCTAGGCACACTTCAGGCCAGTGAGGAGTACAGCCATGTGCTCAACAGGCTCTGGAAATAAGTGGAAGTCAAATAAGTTTGCCACTCTTTGTTCCCCTTTCAATATCTAGCTTTGATCAAAATCCTTGGATACTCAAGTGGTTGTTGACTTAATGTAGTAATGAGATATAGCCTTAAGTGAGGCCATTTCTGTGCCCATTCAGGCTCTCTGAGAGCAAGGGATGCAGGAGGAAAAGCCTCTCCTGGTCTCTGGAATCTGCTGCAGAGCCCAAAGCAGAGGCCTGGCTCTGGCTCCCAGGAGAGGTAGCAGGAAGGCCTGGTGGCCACAGCTACAAGAGGCACACTTTAACAGCCTTTTTGTGCAACACAGCCTCACTGGCATGGGGCTGGGTGACACCAAGAAATCCAGTGAAAACATCTCCTCCAAAAGCTGCAGCAGGTGGCCAACTCCAGTGAGGCCTGGACACCAGACATCATTGTCACCACTGCCTCCTCCTGGAGACCACTGGGGAAGAGGGTGGCACCATCCTAAGGAAATGGACTGGATGATCTTAAAGGCCCTTTCCAACCTAAAGGGTTCTGCGATTCCATGGGCCAGGCTGTTGACCTGAGCGAGGCAGGAGGAGGGAAATGCCCAGGAGCCCTGAGAAAAGTAAAAATTCTCCAGGTGACAAGGAGCAGCTCAGCCAATTAGGATTTTAATTCCCCTCGTTATGCACAGCCAGTCAATAAATTCTGCACCAAGCAGCTGCTCTAATTCTTAAGCCCATTAAGCCCTACATCTGATAGGCAGGCGGGAGGGGCTGCCAAGGGGCACAGACGGTACTTCTCGAGATATGAAACATTTCCTCTTGTACATCTGGGTCACCCCACCCAGCCCCACTCTGAACGGGTATTTTATGGAGGCAGTGAGTAAGAATTTATATAAATATCCTGCCAGAGACACACAGACCACATATGGAGAGAATAAAGAGGTGGATGAGATGCGGTGAGCGAGTGCTGCTGTTGCAACAGAGCAGGAGAGCAGAGCTGGAGGGGAGAGTCTGGGATGGAGCAACAGGATTTGGGTGTCTGAAATGGACGGAGATGCTCCCAAAGAGCTGGGCAAGCAGCCAAGAGCCAAGAAAAGCAGGATCAGAGATGCAAGGAGGAAGAAAACTCCTGGAGCAGTACGGCAAGCCCAGAGAGAGCTGGCTCCCACTGAGGTGGGAGGAGGCCAGGAGCCACAACAACAATCCCTGGAGCGAAGGGGCAGATGGCTGGATCGGAGGTATTCCCCCCACTGCAGAGATGAAAGGCAGGAGAGAAAAGGGAATACACTGGGAGTGGAAAAGCCTTTGGCAGCCAAGACAATTTTGCTTGTTAAATGGCAACAAGCTAACGCATTAATTACAAGCTAACACATTAATTACAAAGTTACTGGATGGTCAGGAAAAACACTGGCAGCGGAGCAATTCGCATTCCTCCGGAGACGGAACAGTGCCTACTCTAGGAATGCTGCCTCTGCCCACCCACATCCAGGATCTGAGCACCCCAAGGCTCAGAGCCAGGCAGAACATGAACAGGGATTAAAAACCATCCCTTCAGTTCAGTTGAGATCTCGCTCATCTCAGATTAGTGTGAAAGATTAATTGCAGGACATGTGCATCCAGCCAAAATTTATTCTCTTTTCATCCCTTAGACACAAATTTGAAAATTAGCTGCCCACCGCACAGCAGGAAAACACCAGGCCTACAAGGCGCTACTCTCCCTGTCAGCTCCACAGGGCCCTGGATGAGAGAGCAGCGACGAACCCTTAAGCCTTGATCAAGGCAAAGGGCATAAATGAAAGTTTGCTCAATTCTGTGAATGCACCAGATGCAATGAGCCTCCTCCTCTAATCCTATCCAGCCCAAAATGTAATTTCCTTACTTAGAAGGCTGGCTGGAGCCATTCCTGTCTCAGCCCCAGCCAAAGCCCAGTCTCTCTCCAAAGGCTGTTCCTGGCCTGGAAGCCAAACACGGGTTTGTTGTTGGGAATCAAATGCAGCCATTGGCACGTGCTGGCAGTCATGGCTCCCACAGGGCAGGGACACAGTGCTGCCTGGAATCTCAGTGCCAGGCTGTGGGCTGGGGGGCTAGACAGTTGCAACAAAGCCCCTAGGACTTCCCCCTGCTGCATCCCAGGTCTAGCACAGCCCCCTCCACTCCCCAAACCTTCCAACAGCCAAGGGGAGCTACAGCAAAGCTCCAGACAGCTGTTGGACCACCACTATCAGCAGTGCCCTCCACTGATCTCAAATGGAAGAATATTTTGCTTTCCCCTGAACCTCCCAGCAGCTGGAAGGTTGCTGTACTTTGGTTTGGATTCAAAATCTTCTTCCCAGAAGGATCATATGGGTTCAAAAGCTCCAGTATTAGGAAGAAATTCTTCCCTGTGAGGATGGTGAGGGAGTGGCAGAGTTTTCCCAGAGAAGCTCCATGTGTTTATTGCAACTCCTGCAAACAGCACTAATAAGTTTGCTAATAATGGCACAGATAGGTGGCTGCTGCTCGTAAATTAATTAGGAATGGCATCACTGTGCTCTGATTAGTTGCCGTCCTTCCACCTTGTAATTTTGTCACCAGCTCACATTTCAAATGCCACTAGAAGCCCACTCGAGCAAGCTCGATCAGAAGGGGGGACCTGCAGTGCTGGGCACATGCTCAGAACTGAGAGAAAATGCCTTGAAAACCTTCAGAGCTTGTCAAGGCCAGTTTATTCTAGGTAATTAATCTGTCGTTTTAAGAGCATTATGTATTTCCTGCACAAACCAGCTGACAACATGATGCTGCTGCAGAAGCGTCTCAGTGTAGCAGGCCCCAAGAATGTGAGGCTCAGGGATCAGCCTTTCCCCTCCCAAAGCACAGCTTCAGCTGGAAATTCATGATTATGTGGATTGGCTTCTCTCCTTTGCCTGCTGGGGTTTCAACTCAAGGCACTCTGTTTCCTTGCAATCATGAGCGCCAGGAATTAAGTGAAAGTTTTAACTCCAAAGACCACTGAACACTCCAAAGGCAAAGAATGCACCTCAAAGGCCTGCGGCTGCATTGACAGGAGTCAATACTCCAGATCTAGAGCTGCAGCCCTCACCACTTCAGCTGCGGCAGCAACACAGATGGGAACACAGAAATCTTTCTGTCGCTTCTGATTTCAGGAGTTAATCATTTTGCAGGAAATGGGGTTCCTGTGGTTCATTAGCATTAATTATTCTGCAATGCCCCACCCCTGAGGAGAGACTGAAGACACTGTGACACATCCAGTGATGCCTGGCTACATGCTGCCTACCTGCCTGTCCACTGTCTGCCTGCAGCAGAGAGAATTTTAATTGACTGGAGCCAAACCAGCCTTCTGAGGTTCTTGAGGAACAGGCAGCAAACCCTGCTAGGAATGTTCACATGCTCACATGGTGCAATCCCTGGATACCGCTACATCAAATGGAGATCAAAAGCAACAATAATCTGTAATCAAGGATATCTGCACAATAGTTTTCCTGAAGGATGTTTGTGCAGGTGAGCAAGGAGTAAAGCATTGTTTCATCAAATGGTAATTTCCTTATATCTCAGAGAATGAATACCATTCGCTTGCCAGGGTATAATTCAATTAAAGGGGAGAACCCAACGCCAGGGAATGAAATCTATCGGTTTGACTGCAATGCTGCAAATCACACTAAGCAAGAAAATGGCATTTGGCCCTGACATCATGATTTATTTCCTACTCAGTATCTTATAATTCTTACAAGATAAGCCAAGATGAGAAATTATCATGTGTGTGTGGGGGTCGTGCCTGATCCTCTTTATTTTCCCTTCCCAACTGCAGGACTGTGTGTTTCAGCCTTATCTTTGAAGAGGCCAGTAACATAAATGAAAATATTTTACAGAGACCAAGCAACCCTTACTCTGCACCCATGGCTGACTCAGGCATCTCCAACATCCAGCTACATCCAGCATGGGACCAAGAGCCCCACTACTTCTCTTTGCCCACTGCTTCTCTTCC